TAGTCAATAAGGCGCCACAAGTACTCCTGTTCTTCTTTTTGCGGATACAGACTAACACGGCTGCTACTCTGAAACCTATAAATAGAGCTTCCTGTCTGTACATTACTTACTTTTTAAAATGTTATTTTTGTTACTCTTGGCACTTCATCATTCACCTTCCTTAACACTGTGCAGGTGGATGGCACTGTGCTATTTAATTGATGTATTAATAACAATAATCATTTAAAATAGTAATAGCTGCTGGTAGCTTCAGCAATCACATCTCAGTGTTTCGAATATAGCACATCCTGTTAGAATTAAAAACGAATGTTGTAATACAAAATTTTTCTTTCTTTCATACACAAATTTATTCTTTGGGATCATATGATATCAAGACTGACTGACTTGCCCGGTTGATGTCATATCTTCGGTTTCCTTTAATCTGACCATCTGGGCTAATAGCCATAGATAGACCTATCCTCTATGAACTTATCTAGGCCTAGGTCTCTACAAAGTTTGGATCAGATCACCTGTGAGGAAGTAGAACACCTTGCAAGAATGCTAGCATCTGCCATACGGCTCTGGGAGCAGGAGGACGTATTGGAAGTCAGGGCACAGGAATGCTATCACACTGCTACTTTCTGCCCCACTCTCTTTGTTTCTTATCTGTGGTGATGCTGCCTGTGACTATGCGCAGCTGAAAAGCAGCAGCTTCTTTGTGAGCCTAGTGCGGCCTGCAGACTGCTGGCATACAGCAGAGTGAATAACTGCACTCTTCCTTTCAGTTCTCTTCGTCAGAAGAGGATCTAGCCTACTCTAATATGTGGTAACTCCCTCAAGTTACAGATAAGGAGCATCTGTTTGTGAACCAAGTGGCCTGATGAAGAGCTCACCTGATATTTTGCAAAACAGAGCAACTGTATACAAGAGGAACTTGTTGTACTTACATTCCCATCACGTTAACCATCCCACATCTCTCAGAATTTGGCCCCACCACAAATGATGAAAAAAGAGAAGATGTGATGAATATTCAAGCCACCCTCTGTAGAATAGGAAAATCAAGGTTTCCTTTAAAGAAATTAACCTGTCAGCCTCCCTGAAAAATGTAACAATCCACCTGATCCTCAAAAAACCAACACTTGATGCAGAATACATTTTCTCCATCTCTAACCTTTCATTCCTAGGCTAAATAATTGCAAAATAGTGACAAAAAAAACTGTAACATGGGACATCTGCCAGCATCCTCGATGCCTTACCAGTGGACTTCATTTTGGGACACAACATGAGACAAACCTTAGTGGGGCTAAGAGATCACCTCCCCGTGGCAATATCAAAGGAGAGCAGTACCTGGTGAAGAACTTAAAATCAACCTGGGCAAGATTAAAGTGATACTTCAGGGAGGCAGAAATGCTTTGAAAAATAGCTACATCACTGCCCCCCCTTCCATCACAGAGATTTCCTACTGTTCATCAAAGTAGCATGAAACCTCAAGGCTGTCGTCAACTCAATATTTAGCCTACTAGATCAGGTTCTCCCATCACCAGCTTGCAAAGAAACTTCACCTCTTCCTCCCAGATGAGGATCCTGTCTGTCACATCTACCCATGGATTTGTAACCTCCAGCCAGGATTACTGTTACTCACCATATCTGGGTTTGCAGGTAGCAGCAATGTGGAGGCTCCCACTTGTGCAGAATGTGGCACCCTGCCTGCTCAACAGAAAGTTATGCCAAAAGCCTGTTACTTCTGTTCCAATCCCTCTGCTGATTTCCAGACTACTTCTGTGACCAGTTCAAAGCCAAGAACCATCTACTGTAATGACTTATGACCTGTCAAATCAGTGACACTGGGACAAGGCAGCTCACGAAACTTAGGACAAAGTAGGAGAGCCAGAGATAAATAATTCTGGTGAAAGGATGTCAGCTGTGCAACAAACATCATGATCAGATGAAACCAGAGTCTAATGACGTTTCAGGCTGTGCTGCCAAACTCTCGTCATGGACAAGAGTTTCCCAACATAATGAAATTAAACTTTTGAATGTTCACAAAAAGCAAACACAGAAGGGGGCAAATACATTCAAATCAACATTTGCTTTTGAATTTGATAATTTGCATGCATTTTTTCCATTATTCACTTCACTCTAGTCATAATGTACTAGCACATTTATATCAGTGTAGCCTTACCACTACTGATGATTTTTTTTAACAATGTGAAGTCCTTTGGATAGGGCCTGCCTTTCCCCCCCTATACATGGGAACATAGTCATGCACATTTACTTACTTCACTAGGTAGTATTTACAGCGGTCTCTCCTCATTTCTACTGAGATGTTTTAGAAATCAACACAGGAAATGTTCCATAAATCAGGGTGCCACATTCTGACAAAGCAAAAGCCTACATGTGGGGCTAGTATAAAAGCAAACAAACAGAAACGCTGTAATGGACATTGCAGTGCTACAGCAGGTAGATATGTTGATTCATGTTCTTTGGAGACCAAAACATACAAATGGAATTTTTAAAAATGAAGATAAGGTTCATTTAAAGTAATTTATGTATTTATCTCAGTCTACATTTTTAATTCTTCCAAAACTTTTTTAAAATGGAGAATTTTTTCATCAGTTATGTCGAATACTAAAATGACTTCAATTGGAAGTGTAAACAGTACATTCCCTGCCTTGAGTTTGGTACTTTGAGTAGGGAGAGTGCAGGTGCTGTATCCACTTTCTTAAAACTTCAAGGCCGCAGCCTGTTTGATAAGTGCATGTTCCATGTGCTAGTAAAGGGGGAAAGGAGAGAGGAGTTGGAGCAGGGTGCCAAGGGCCTCATTACACAAAATAGTAAAGATTTAGTTTTTCTAAATCAAGATGCTAAGTGTATAATAAACTTTTGAGCATGTCAAAAGCACTGTTTTATATGTATTCTAGGCATTGATTATACATCTACAAAGAATACAAATTAACCAATTCAGAATTTTTGTACAAGATGGAATAAATGCAGTTTATTAGTCACAGTGCATCTGGCAAACTCTGCTCATACGGGAAATGAGAATTTCTCTTATTTTGCTAATGCTGATTTCCACCGCCCCTAAATTCTGTACAAAACCAAATTTATGAATCGCCTCCAGTGGAGTGAACCATCCATAAGTATGGCATGGGCAGTAATTTCAGGAATGTTCCAGCATGAGAAGTGCAGTCCTTTGGTGGTAGTTTAATGGCATTAGGGGTAAAAATTAGAGGTGGTCAGGAATTTTTCAACTAAACTTTATGGGAAAAGGCCAATTCATCAAAACCAAAATTCTTCACAATAACCTATCACTTTTGATTAAACTTCAGTGATTAGAGGTTTCTCAGGTCCAGAATAGCATTCCTTGTCAAGATGAGAGAGAGACCCCCGCCTCCTCCCCCCAGAACAGCCCAGGATTCAGATGTGAAAGACCCAACTTCAAGTACCTACTCTGCCATTTGCTCACATCCTAGGTGAATGGCTTAATCACCAGCCTATTAGCTAGTCTAGAATGGGTTTCGCAATGTCTCCTGTTGGAGCGGTTCCACTTTAATTGGAGCAGGGACTGGAATGTAGGTCTCCCACTTTTCAAGTGAGTGTCCTGGCCACCGGGCTATGCAGGGGTGGGGCTCGAGCTTTTTGCAAATGACATCAGAAGGTTCACAGTTCATCCTGATGCAGGAAAACTGTTCCCTGCCTCCAGGGCCGGCTCCAGGGACCAGCTTCTCAAGCAGGTGCTTGGGACGGCCGCTCTGGAGAGGGGCGGCAGGTCCAGGTATTCGGCGGCAATTCGGCGGACTGTCCCTCACTCCACCTGGGAGAGAAGGACCTCCCGCCGAATTGCCGCCACTTTTTGTTTGTTTGTTTGTTTGTTTTGGCTGCTTGGGGCGGCCAAAACCCTGGAGCCAGCCCTGCTTGCCTCGCTCTAGTTGCTACTTCAGTTTCATGCTCCAGTATTCCCAGGGCCTCAAACATGCAAATTGGGGTTGATCATTTTCAGCTATGCAGTAGTTGCAAGTACTGAGGGTTAGTTTTGTTCGCACATGCTCACCTTCATTCTAATTTCTGTATCGTATGCTTCAGATTTTTACCTATGTCCAGAGTCCATATGTACATCATATTACGGAGGAATGTTGCAGGTTCTGTGGAACTTAACTTTAAACAATCAGTAGGGTGCCCCTGCTGTTCTTGCACCTCTCCAAACTACTTACACTCCATGTTCTGACAGCTTTTCAGTGGTGAGAGACTAATGAAAAAAAGTTACATTGCACTTTGGAAGTCTCATCACATGATTGTTAGAGTAATAACTTGCTTAAATAAAGAATGCTACTTATATCAAGCCAATGCTGACCTTGAAAATATACATAAAATATCTTCTCATTGCCCTTGTATTACCAGGCTTAATGCTTCAAAGCTGG